CACAGTACAAGTATTATATATATGTAAACCATCGTAAGGACTGACCTGCGATACTTAGACAGGTTCAGTGCATGAAAGGCAATCCTTTTATCCTCTACATTGTATGACGCGGTATTATCATAAACTTGCGTTTGATGCTTCCTGACCACTTGGAAAATCTTGAAGAATGTAAAWGAGGATATCCCCAAGCACATTACAAGTGCTATGACACCAAATCCTAARGAAACTGAAACTTTCCATGGGTAAAATGAGACGAAGAAGATTCCAATGAGCCAGAACATCGTGATTATTTTAACCACTCGTTGTGTGGTTACAACAGCAACGTATCTTAAGTGAAGGTACAAAGCCAGGTATCTGTCGATGCTGATGCACGTGACCGTCATGAAAGACATACCTGAGAAGAGATTGGCCAGCATGTTGACGACAACGCCGCAATAACATGACATATCCACAAGACCATTCATCTCTGCTATTTTGTAGATGACATAAAGTGGTTGGACTAAAAGTCCTGTTGCGAGATCTGTCACTGCTAGGTTACAAATGAGAAAGCTTGATGGCTTGTGTAAGGATGGAGTCTTAATGATTGAGTACAGAACAAAAAAATTTCCGACAACTGCTGAGATCGCGAATACAAAGTTGAAGACGCAGTTTATAATGTAGACATCTTCTAGGTACTCCAAGAACCACATATTGCTTTCAACTAAAGGACAGGTGGCGATGTTATTTGTATTGGAGTTGTTTTCCATTTTGACTTAATTYKTCATTCAAGAATCCTATTATTAGGYTGTMTTTCGATTCCAGTATTTTGCTATTGCTTGATTCTTTTTCTCATTCATGGAACATATRCTCTGTTGGATTCCAAAGAATCTTTTCAGACGGTTCTTTCGGGTTTCGTCTTTCACGGAAAAAGAAAAAGAACTAAATTGAAATATACCATTAGCATTGATTGACAGTATTATTAGTATTAGTATGTGATTGGTCGAAGAACGGTTATTCTGAGAGGATATTCACTGCGCATGCTCGAGTGTTGAGTACCCAGAGCCTGCGTTTCTTCTGGCCTGCGGCAAAGAACTAGGGCTCTGKCATAATCCATATTTTGGCGCATGCGCAATTTTTGGAAAGTGAGATATAAACGGYCAAAATAAGCAAATTTTGTTGAATTTTCTATTAGATTTGGCGATTCTATCCCCCACATAAACAAGCAGTGACGTCAGTCAYAGTGAAATAAGGCAATTGAATAGAAATAAGACTTATAATCTTTGAATAAAACAGTCGTTTCCCAGCTTGCTACTTTCCGGGCTGGCACCGTTTGTTAAGCACTGGAATATATCATTGTTCTTTGAAAATTATTCATGAAAGCTACTATACTTTATTATTCATGTTGCTCGATTYTAGATATAAGATTATCATTATTCCTTTCTTCACAATTCACTTGGAAATCAAGATTCGATAAAGGTTATCTATTATTTTTCTTATATAATGCCAAAATTTTTAAGATTAAACTAACAATAGTGGCGAGGCATGTGAATGCGCACGTTTCTGAGTGTCACCTCGTTTCCAGGCTACTCTCTTCATTTATTGACATGACGTCAAGCTCGTGATTTGACTCTCAGAGGAGCACCGTGACCGATTTCGGAGGATCGAGCGGTCTTTTGTCAAKATGTACGCGATGTGTAAGGCGATCATTTTTATTAATAGAATCATCTAAAGACAACTAGAAAGCCGTTTTGTAAAGAATAAAAAGCGATTCGTCTATATTGGAAGATAA